AAAGAGGACCACCTTTTCTCTTCTCTTAAGGTGGGCCTCAGGGGGGGAAGAAGCCCACTTTCATGGAAGAGGACATGCCATGAAAAAGCTTAGTAGGATTTTTAGAAAAAAGTTTCTAGAAGGAAAATAGAAGGCCTTGCGAGAGATTCTCCGTTGTTCCACCCTTGGGAAAGCGATCTGTTGAAAGCCACAGTTCCTTCTCTTACTCTAACCTTCTCCCCACTCCCACCCTGTACTGTAGTTTGGGGGACCCACCGTAGTGGTTAACAGGAAGACCACCCAGAGGGTGAGGGTCAGGGTTGGTGGAGGAGCTGGAGGGTTTCCTACTGCTGCCCATCACTTGAGGGAGGAGATGCACTCACATCAGTGTCCTCCCTTGCCCACACGCACCCCTGCTCAGCCGTGGTTCTTCCTTTCAAAAGTTATTTTCATAGATTCAGGGGAGGGGTTTTTTGTACAGACGATTAAATAAAACAGCTACTTATTTATATATCCTAGTCTGGACATTAATTGGAGACGGACAAAGGATGGTGGGAATCAGCCTGGCTAGTCTCTTAAATGAAAAAAAGCTGTCCTCTCCTGGATATGCTGTAGTGAGGTCTTCAAGAGTTGTGAAGACCATGGGGGGCCCACCTCTGGTTTGACTCATGGCCTGCTTGAGTTGGCCAAGTTCTTCTTTCGTCTACTCTGAAATGTACCAACAGAGAGTTCTTCTCTGCTCTGGGTTACAACTTTACACATACGGGGCAGTGAAGGGTGTGGAAGGGAGCTACCTGCTTTCTTCCTACCCCAGTGGAAAGCTTTCTGGAGGCCCCCTTCCTCAGAACCATGACATTTGATTCAATCCAGGAGGACTCCAGTCTTTGGGGATCCAGGATTCCTATCTGAATTGGGTAGGTGGGTCAGAGTCTTTTGGACATTTCAAAGAATCGGTTTCAACATCACGCGGGACTTGATGAAAAGATGGATCAAGACAGCACACAGTGTGGCGGGTTTTCAGAGCATTTCAATGCGAAGCAGGAGCATCTCTTTCAATCCTATGATCTGAGTGTGGCATATTCTGTGAAGATAGCAATTTTGTTAGTGTGAAAACACCTTCGGAGAGCTACGATTTTTTTATTGGCCGGCAGATACGTTGAACTGACCTCCCACTGGGAAAACACCTCGCTCTATCTCAACGTAGGGTTGGCCTCAAGAGTCCATCAAGATGGTTAAGTAGACCTCTCCGTTGAGCAATGGCCACTCCTAAAAATGCCTTCACACCCACTATATGAGTCACCCACAGCACTAACAGCGTGGCTGCATCCTTTAAGCCACAAGACGCCGGTGGAAATGGGTTGCAAATCTTGCCACTTTCCGTGGTGCTTTCTAAAATATGTCCACGTTTATCCACTCAGATGACAAAACACACTGCACTGCAGAAACAACATCCACAAATGTTGTCAAGGTTCACCCAACAGGTTCTTCGGCAAGGAGAGAAGGGGTGGAGCTTTTTGTGGCTCAGTGTCAGGGGTGGGTTTCAGGCGGTTCGCGGCGATCCCCGCGAACCGGTTGGTCGGCGAACCCAGAAGTAAGTAACTTCTGGGAACACCGAAGGATCCAACTGCCCGTGTTTCTTACCCGGTTTTGACGAGTTCTGCGCTTCCATGCATGCGCAGAACGCATACAGCGCCTGCGCGATCCTCCAG